TTTGGTCTTTTTGAGACAGGGTCTCCCTGTAGCCCCAGCTGTCCTGGAACTCACTATGTAGACCAGACTGGCCTTGAACCCCTCCGGTTTTTTAAAAAACTAGCTCGGCATTATTTATCTCTCCTGTTGTCTAACCCTTCCACCATGGTTTCCCCATTTAAAAATGCCCCCATTTTTCCCATTTCTCTCTTAATAATACTCTTCTCCTATGGTCCCAACCTCTCTTGAGTTCCTTTCCCTTTATCCCCAAGGTTTCTTGAATAACCCTTACTCCCCCCTCCCCTTAAAATAACCCCATTTTTATCCATATCTCCCTTATTAACACCTGTTTCCTACTGTTCTTCTCTTTTAGATTCTTCCTTTTTTTTTTTTTTTTTACTTCCCTAGTTCCTTTACATTATCTAGGTTCCTAGGCTCTGGATACATACTCACAAGGATTTGGTGCTAGGATCCACATATGAGGGAGAACATACGTCATTTGTTTTTCTGAGTCTGTGTTACTTCACTTAGTATAACAGGTTCTAGTTTTGTCCATTTACCTGCAAATTTTATGATTTCATCTTCTTCACTGCTGAGTAAAAAACTCCATCGTATAAATGAACCACATTTTCATTATCCACTTGTCAGCTGAGGGACACTTAGGTTGCTTCCATCTCTTACCTATTGTGAAAAGAGCAGCAACAAACATGGATGTACAAGTGTCTCTGCAATAGGATGAGTTCTTTGAGTATATGCCAAGGAGTGGTATAACTGGGTCAAATGGTAGGTTCATTTTTAAGAGTTCTCCACAGTGGTTTCTATAGGGGTTGAACAAGTTTGCAATCCAACCAGCAGTGAATGAGCATTCCCCTTTCCCCACATCCTCTCCAACATTTGGTATCGTGTTCTCTTGATCTAAGCTATTTTTATTTCTTTTTTTGAGAACTCTCTGTTCAGCTCCTTAGCCCATATTTTAATTGGGTTACTTCCTTTCTTGATTCTTTGTTTTTTGAGTTTGTTGTATATTCTGGATGTTAAACCTCTGTCAAATGTGTTGCTGGTGAAGATTTTCCCCATTCTGTGGGTTTTTTCTTTACTTGGTTGCTTCTTTTGATGTACAGAAGCTTTTTAGTTTAATGAGGTCCCATTTCTTGATTCTTGATCTTGTTTCTTGAGCAATTGATGTCTGATTTAGAACATCCTTTCCTACACCTATATCTTGTAGATTATTGCCAATGTTTTCTTCTAACAGTTTCAGAGTTTCAGGCCTCACATTGAGGTCTTTGATCCATTTGGAGTTGACTTTTGTGAAAGGTGAAAGACAGGGGTTTAGTTTCATTCTTCTACAAGTGGACATCCAGTTTTGCCAACACCATTTGCTGAACATGCTGTCTTTCCTCCAGTGAATGTTTTTGGCCCCTTTGTGTTGAAATTGCATGTACTCATATTTGGGTCTTCAATTTTGTTCCATTGGTCTGTGGGTCTATTTTTGTGCCAGTACCATGTTGTTCTTATGACTAGCTCTGTAATACAGTTTAATACAGTTTAAAATCTGGTATAGTAATCCCCCCAGCATTACTCTTAGGGTTGTGCTCAGGGTTGCTTTGGCTATCCAAGGTCTTTTGTGCTTCCATATGAATCTTAGGATTTTTTTTCCCAATTCTGTGAAGAATGTCATGGGGATTTTGATTGGCATTGTATTGAATCTATAAATGGCTTTTGGCAGAATGGTCATTTTCACAGTATTAATTCTTCCAGTCCATGAGCATGGGAGGTCCTTCCGTCTTCTGGTGTCTTCCTCAATCTCTTTCTTTAAAGATTTAAAATTTTCATTATAGAGGTCTTTAATGTCTTTGATCAGGTTTATTCCGAGATTTTTTTTGTTTCGAGGCTATTGTGAAAGGGAGTGTTTCCGTGTACTCTTTCTCTGATTGCTTGTTATTGGTAAATAGAAAGGCTACAAACTTTTGTAGATTAATTTCGTAACTTACCACTTTACTGAAAAATCAGCTGTAATTCTGATGGGTTTTCCTTTATATGTGGCTTGTTGTTTTTCATTTGCAGCTTTCAGTATTGTCTCTTTGTTCTGTATGTTTAGTGTTTTTACTATGATGTGCCGTGGAGACTTTCTTTTCTGGTCCTGTCTGTTTGGTGTCTGGTCCTGTCTATTTGGTGTTCTATGTGCTTCTTGTATTTGTATGGACATGTCTTTCTTTAATTTTGGGAAATTTTCTTCTACAGTCCTGTGTAGATGTGGTCCATACCATTATCTTGAGATTCTTCTCCTTCTTATATGCCTATGATTCGCAAGTTTGTTCTTTTTATGGTGTCACATAATTCCTGCATATTCCATTCCTGTTTTTTCTTAAATTTTTCATAATCTTTGCTTGAGTGGTGTAATTTGTCCTTTTTTTCTTCCAGTCTTGATATTCTGTTTTCCCTTTCATTCATTCTATTGGTGAGGCTTTCTCCTGTCATTTCTAAATGCCTTCCTGAGTGTTTCATTTCTTCATTTCAGCCCGAGTATTCTTCAGTATCTCTAACTCTTCTGCATTCATTCAGGAGTTCATCCCTGTCTTCTTTCAGTTCTTTGATTTCTTTGTGTGTTCTTTACATTCACTCAATTCTTTAATCATGTTTATAATTGTTCTTTTGAATTCCATGTCCTGTGTTGTCTCTAGGGGGTTCTCTACAGGACTTTTGGTACTTGATGACGATATATTATTTGGGTTTTCATGTTGTTATTTTTTCTCTGTGACTTTGACATGTGGATTTCCTTTGTAGTTTCTGATTCTTGTGTGAGGCCCAAGCCTTCCTTTGTGAGTTTAGGTCTGCTTCTTTTTGTAAACTTTATGTACCTTTGTGGTTTACCTGTTGGGTATGGAAAGCTGGTTGCTCTAGGCTTCAGGTTGTCTCTTTTGATTTTATATTGGATGGGCCAAATTGCTTTTGTCTTGGTGCTCAAGAGTTCCCACAGAGGCCCAAATGATCAGATGCTCTCTGGCTTTCTCCTAAGTTCTCGATCCCTCCAGGAAAGATGATGTACTCAGGAATTTGTGGGCTGGGCTGGCCTGGGAGCAGGAATTTGTGGGCTGGTCTAGGAAAGTTGTTGGCCCCAGGAATCTGGTGGCTGTGCTGCTCAGGGATGCAAAGGGAGGTGGGTGTGGAAACAAGTCCCAAGGGTTCCTGGACACTAGAGGGATGAATTGGGTTTGTCTGCATGCAAAGGATCAGGAAGCAGAGGGGAGTCTGGGCCAAGATGTCAGTCCAGAGTTCTGGGGTGCCAAGACAAGAAATGGGCCAGGAGGAGAGATGGGGTTGGGGGAGCTGGGAGGGTGAATGAGGGTGGGGGAGTCAAGGTGCAGTGGGCCCCGCAGAACCTACCTGGAAAGATACTAGCCCCAGGAATCTGATGGCTGCGCTGCCCTTCTTATGTCTATTAAAGTTATTCAAAATCTGGGTATATGCTTAAGTGTGAGAATATTTTAATGCAACATTTCCAGATAATGTGATCTGGAGAACAAACATTTTTTTTTTGTTTCTTTAAAAAAAATTCAGTAGTAATTATATTTGTTGTTTTACAACATTGTTACAGATTCTTAACATTCAATTAAAAATGCTAAATTTTCAGTGCATGTAGAAGATGTGAAAATACAAAATTCTCTTATTTCTCATAGTTTCAAAGACTGAGAATCAAATGGTCCAATTTTGAAAGTTAAAACCCAGATACCTTTCTGAAACTCATTAATGTCTTGATTCTGCTAGAATGAGTGCTCTCTGTTTGGTTATTTGAATCAGTAGTTTTGTATCTTTTTAAAAAATATATTTTTGATTATTTTATTTCTATTTTTACCCTCCTAGTCTCCCACTTGGGATAGATAATTTATTGGGGAGCTAGTCTCTGACAAAAACGTATTCTCCCTCTGTCAGTATCCATTGATTGCCTGTAGCTCTTCCGGCATAGTACCAGCTTGCATAGTACCTTCTACTACTCTGAGAGGTAGTCTTTATGGAGGAGGCTTCCAGGTCAGTTCCAGCTCTTTTGCTCCCAGCCCTGTGTCTGAAGAGTGTCATATCTTCAGCAATAAGATTTCATTTTCAAATTCTGGGGGGCAACCAAGGGCTGTGGTAATAGCCTATATTATTTTGTGAGTTTCATGGACTATCCTAATCAACAACTTGAAAGGAGGTTTTCCTTGCCTGGCATTGTGATTTTTGTGATATACATGTACTCACATATATACTGTATGGGTATTTTTCAGTAGACTTATGAAATACTACATTTCCTTATGGTTTTTCATATTACCTAAGTATTATTTCTGTCTTTTTCCTCTCCCTTGCCCTATATAGCCCTCCATCTTCTCCAGTTAATGTACCCTCCATTTCCCACTTGATAACTCCTGTGTCCTATTATTCCCCTCACTTGAACTGCTTCTCCCCTTCTTTCCCCATGATTCTTTTCTACTTTCCTGGCTTCTGCTCGGTTACTTCAGGATATATACTCACATCTAAAGATTTGGAACAGAGATGCACAAATGACAGAGAACATGTGTCACTTGTTTTTTTGAGTCTGTTACCTTACTCAGTGTAGCACTTTCTATTTCCAACATTTACCTGCAAATTTCATTTCTCTCTCTCTCTCTCTCCCTCCCTCCCTCCCTCCCTCC